TTTTCGCGGAGTTACGCGGGTCGGACGAGCGACGAAGTTGCACCACGCTCGTGAGTGCGGTCGCAAATTTGGCGCCCAACGTGGGGCCCTGAGAAAAATTAAAGATTGAAATTTTTGTTACACCCCGTATTATCGGTCTTGGGAGCGAGAATCTTATATTTCTCTGTCTATATTTCTGTGCTTATTTTCTGTGTTGCATGTGCTTTTGACATTGTATGCGAATCTTTGCTAATCTCTTTTCTTTACAGCAGTGTTAATTGTGCGCGTCGCGATTCGCGTGAGATATTTGAGTTTGTTAGTGTGACCTTGGAATTTCGGGGGAAATTCGTTTTGCTTTTTCGGTATTTTTGAGAATTTCGCGAGTGCTGGCCGTTTCAGGGGAGAGATTATTTCAGTTACGTAACGTTTCCGTTTTCTTTCGTTTTCTTTTGTGCGTCCTTCGTTAGGCGGCGAACGGCCGTGTCATTGTTTTCGCATTCCTTTACGCTCCACTGCTCGCGTTCGAGGTATTAAGCCCCGAAAATTATTGCCGCGTATATTCCGTTTCAGTGACCGTGGTCGCGTGTATAGGTCGTTTCAGATTTTGTTTTCGTGGACTGCGTGCGAACAGTCCGTACTATTATCACTCAGCGATCCCGTGGGGACGTTCACAACAAGCGAATTCCTGACCCGTTAGTGAGGGAAAGTACGAGCGCGTCCTCAACCTTGCGTGCCCTTGAGAGCGCTATTTTTTCTTTCTCGTTGTTTTGTATTACCGATTTACGTTCCCGGCGTGCCGCGCTCACGGACTCCCGTTCTCGTTACCGAATTGATTTCTTTCTTTCTCGTTCACGATGTCGGAAGAGGGCTCGAGATTCGGATGGATATACAAATTATCGTCCGACGCGTTAAGAGAAGAGTTATCGCGTAGAGGGTTAGACGTTGAAGGGGACATTATCGCGTTGCAGGATCACTTGTTACGTCACGAGCTAAACTGTCGACTGGGAGCGTCGGCAACCGCGAATGTGGGAGAGAGCTCGTCGCATTTTTTGCGCCCGTCAACATCCGCGCAGATGGCTCCGGACAGCCCCAGCCGTTTTACGGGCGGTGGCGAGACCCGGAGCAGCGACGAGGAGGCTCCCGCGGGTCGGCGCGCGGAGTCCCCGACGACACCCCGCCGGATTGATCAGACGCCTTCGCGTCATGCCGTAAATGATATGTGCAACGCTCTGCGGAAATGGAGCGTGTCGTTTTCGGGTGCGCGCGGTAGCGACGCCGAAGCCTTTCTCACAAAACTTAGAGAGGGTCGTGAATTATATCCGATAACGGACACCGAGTTATTTCGTTGCATTCCGTTTTTCCTAACTAATATCGCGTCGTATTGGTTCGAGAATCGACGCGCCGAGTTGCGAACGTGGGAGGAATTTGTTACCGCGTGGCGTAGTCGCTTCGGCGACCCGGATTTTCAGAGCGCGCTTAGGAACGAGATCCTGCGTCGTGATCAGGGGGAACGCGAGACCGCGGCCGATTACATCACCTGCATGCAGGCGATGTTTAACAGATTAGACCCGCCGTGGAGTCCGGCCGACCAGCTCGATCACGTACATCGCAACCTGCGAGCGTACTTGCAACGCCTCATACGGAGGCACGAGTTCGATAACTTCACCGCGTTAGAGCATCTGGCGACGCGGCTGGAAGTAATAGACGAGGCCGCGAGTCGACCGCGTCATACGACCGCGCCGGAAAAATCTTTGTTACCCGACTTAGCGTATCGCCCGTCGCGGAAAAATCCTAAGAACGTAGTGACCGCGTCGGCCGGAATAGCCACCGCGAATCGTAAGTCTGCGGCGGCGCCGCCCGCCGCCACGCGCTCCAGCACCGCACGGTGCTGGAACTGTCAAAAGATAGGGCACATCGCGCGCGAATGCCCGGCCGAACGCAAAGTTTATTGTTACCGTTGCGGAAAACCTGACGTTACCGTAAAGACGTGTACGGATTGCGCGGGAAACCCGAGAGAGAGTCGCTAGAGCGGGTCTGCGCGACTCCCGAAGAACCGACTGTGACCCGCACCCCCTCCGACACCAACGCGGCTGAGTACGTGCACCTTACCTTTCTCGTTTCCGAATTACCGCCGTTACAATATTTCCGGATCCGTATTGGGGGAGATAGATTATCGGCTCTCGTGGACTCTGGGTCCAGTCGTACGCTTTTCGGAGACGAGGGGATTCGTATTGTAAGAGGATTGAGATTAACGACTACCCCCACTCGGAATATTTATATTAGAACCGCGAACGGACAGGTGGCAAAGATTAGAGAGGAAATTGAGTTACCGTTATCGTTGGGGAATGTAGAAAGGCGCGTTACCGTTTGCTTGCTTCCGAAGTTAGCCGCCCCGTGCATCGTCGGGATGGATTTCATATGCGCGTTCAATATCGGACTCGATTTCGCGTCTTCGCGATGGTATTTCGCGGACGCGCCGGATAGGCGCTACTCGGTTCGAGGCGGAGAGCAAGGTTGAACAGGCTTGTTG